TTGGCAGCTCAGCACTGCTGGAGAAAAAGCAAAAGTTGGCCTCCAGCCACTGCAACTAATGGTTTTTTATCACAACCTAGTTTTCAAAGGTATTCCTCAATCTTTTTTGTTGGTTTTGGTCAGTTTTCTCACTCAGTCTTCCTGGTGATTAATACTAATAAAAATATAAGGCATGATCTATGATATTATGAGAAGAAATAAAAAGGCTAACATGGGAAATGTAATCTAGCTCTAATGCTATATGTCCTTCAGGTTTTAAGTCAACTACTTTCATGACACTCAGAATACTACTCCTGTCTTAATTCCAAGAGCTTTTTAGAGTTTGAAAAATGGACCACTGGGAATAATGCCTGCTTTCAAATCTCTTTATGTCCAAGGTACCCTTCATACTAATTATACTTTGTCAATGAAACATACACATCTTTTGTTTGTGTTCATTTTAATTTATTCTGTGAGGTTTAAAGTAACAGTTAAAACATCATACAAACAAACCACAGAGACTTTAGGTATAGTATTGACCAGTTTTAAAACAAAAACAGTGAATGATCACTCATCTTTAATTTTACATATTATTATACAAAGAACTATTAACACACAATTTTAATTCCTTATAAACCTATTTGTCAAGCAACGAGATGACAATGCGTCATAGCACAGCACAGAATGTCTCCTTTAAGAAACCACAGGAGCAGTATTTGGTGAGTGGTTATGCATACAACTAAGTTGGAGAGTAATATTCAACATTGGCCATAAAACAGGAAGTACATGTACATTAACACATGGAAAATGTAACTTTTATTAAGATAAAATTTTACTCTTTATGCTGTAAAAGCTGTAAGATACTTTAGAAGCAGACAATACAAGGTGCTTTCATTCTAGACTCCATAACAATATACTATTCCATTAGCTGCTTGAGTCTATAATATATTAGTATTGTTCATTGGCTTTTTAAAAATAAATTTTACTGATTTCAGAAAGAAAGGAAAAAGGAGAGATAGAAACATCAATGATGAGGATCACTGATCGGCTATATTCTGCACTCCCCACACTGAGGATCAAGCCCATAACACAGGCATGTGCCCTGAACAGGAATGGAATCATGACCTCTGGGTATACAGGTCAATGCTCAACCATGAGCCATACCAACTGGGCTTCATTGGCTTTTTAAGTGAACTTCAAATATAAAAGTTTACAGTTAAAATCTAAAGTTACATTGGTTACATGTTACATTAAAACATAACTTCAGAAAAACTGACTTCAAAAAATACTGTTATCACTGACAAAATAATTTTTTAAATGTTGCTTTTAAAAGTAAAAATGTACTACTTTCAAATCATTTAACATGTTTTGGTTTAAAATGCCATATTTGTGAAACCATTATGTAATATATTCTCAACTTTCAACAAAGTAACAGTTTGAAGCTGTTTTAAAACCTATTAATATCTAAAGAAATGGGTCAGCACACCTGTGAAATGGCTATCCTCCAAATAACATATTTATGTTTCCACCAGGAAAAGACTAAAAAAATCCACTGAATGCATTCTATTTTTGACTGGACATAAATATTAAAAACCTCATTCAACAGTGCTACACAAATATTTAGTGTTTTTTGGCATTTAAGTCAGAGTAATGCTACCAATACATTTGATACCTGAAATTTTCACAAGAGTTTCAGAGGCAAAGAGAAAGACTTGAGAATGGTTAGTTGGGAAGGTAATGAAAACTGGCCAGTCCTCAATTTTAAAATTACTCTTCAAAAGATGGTGTCCCTGATCAACATCATCGTTAATGAGTATTTAGACATAAATGATATTGACCACATTTTTAATGCTCAGAACTTCTGAACTTTAAAATTAACCACAGGCTAGTCAATCTCCTACTGAGAAACTGAAAATGCCCTTATGAAGTTCCACTAAGTTCAACTACAAAAGCTCTAAAATGGGTAAAAAACATAAACACACAAATAATTCTGCCAACAGGTATTTCTCTTGTCTCTTTCAGTGGCCTTAGAAATATGTGCTATCATGAGAATACTGGGAGCAGAGGAGAAAAAAGGTTTTAAACAAAGGAATTAGTTTGGAGGATTTTCATATTGGCATCAGGGATTTAACTCTCTTGAGAGTTAAAACATAGTGGGGTGTGAGCTGTTAAAATGCTTTTAACTGTATTTTCCCCAAAAATAAAGCAGAACATTTCTTATAATTATTTTTAAAAAGATATTTTTGAAGTATAAATATTAATAAATAATACTAACATATATACCTTTACATGGATTAAATTGTTTACTTTGTGGATGACAATTGTAGGTTTCGGGGGATTACATCGGCCATCAGTTTTTAATACTGATAACTTAAAAGCTGTCAGCAATTATTCTCTAAACCTAAGATATTTATATATATAAAAGTCTAAGCAACTAGACAACCAGACAACCAGATGACGGGCCGGTAGCTATGATGTGCACTGACCACCAGGGGGAAGACACTGGATGCAGGAGCTGCCCCCTGGTGGTCAGTGCACTCTCACAGTGGGAGCACCGCTCAGCTGACAAACAGGCGTCAGACGCGGACTCACAGCTGGCGAGCACCGCTGTGGCGGCGTGAACCTCTCCTGTGGACACTCCCCTCTGCATGCCTGAGTGTGGCCACGGTGGTGGGCACAGCAAGGCCAGGATGAGCTGGAGTGATGCAGCGCCCAGCCTGGGCTCAGGCTCCTCCCCTGCTGCCTGCCGCTTCTCGCACTACTTCGTGCTGTGTGGGATTGATGCAGACAGCGGGCTGGAGTCTGACAAACTGGCAGGTAAGGCCAGGCTGTGGTGGTGTGGAGGTCCACTGATCCCCGCAGGCCAGGCCAAGGGACCCACAGGTGCACGAATCCATGCACCAGGCCTCTAGTCTATTATAAAGCAGATCCACAGTTCAAAATACTAGACTATGAAAGATCTAATTGAATCCTCCCAGTACCAAGATTTTTAGGCTTTTTTTCCTAACTGATGATCATTTTAATGCAATACTTAGCTAGTAGGAAGCACTAAAATTAATGCATGAAATTTGTGTCATTATTTTTAATTCCTACAGAAACATAAAAATAGAAAACAGCATCCAATAAGGAAACGAAAATAGAAAGATTATGCCCCACTCTCAGCTGCTGGGGATCTGCCTGTAGCACATATTTAAAATTGAAGTTATGTTCTGTGAATTCCCTTTCCGTATATACAAAGGGCTACAATGACAACAGAAGTGTGCACCAGGAATACCACTTGGGTCAGAGCAAGTGAACTATTAACAAAACTGTCAGCATGAAGTATGAGGTACCAAACATAAATTACACACCATCATAAAAACTAGTGGTGACCAGTTCTTTAGAAACCAAGATTAAACATACAAAAAGAACTTGAATTAGTAAAATAAGTTGGCTTTACAATTCACTCTTGTACAAAGCAGGTAACAGTAAACAGAAAGGTTCTTTAACCCATATCTCTTCCCTGGTAAACAGTCCAAAGTTCAATGAGGACAAATATGCAACCTGGCAAGTCAGTGTACAGTGAAGCAGGCATTTTCACCCACTCTCCAATCCCCCCAGTCCTGTCTCTGGGATCTTGCCACTGAACTGCTATTTGTGAAGAAGTGTTTTCTCCACGAAACATGCCTTGAGCATGAAGTCCTTCCATACAAAGGGAGTGACTAATCCTACCTCCCTAAAGTAGAAGACAGTTCTCAGATTCCAAAGCTACTAAAGTCTTGAATAGGTTGCCAAAAAAATGTCTCATAGAGTATAACTATTTTAATTATAAAGTTAGAATTAAGTTAGTAATAATAGTTATCCTAGAAAAAATAAATGTACAAGCTATTTCTTACTTGTCAGATGCACCATATGCATCATAAGGAAAAAGACACAGGCCATCAAATTATGACACAATGCTTTCATATCACGTAGAATGTTTATTTTATATTTACTGAAACAGAACTTTTTGAATTAAACAGACTTTTATCACAGTCTTGTGCATATGTAAGTGTTAAGAAATAAACTGGTTAAGTTATACTATAACTTCATACTCTGAGTGCAACTTTCATGAATCACTTCTTACATCAGTCACCGGTGCCTGCCTTCTCACAACAGCCCCCTTGGCGTCATCAAAAGCATTTCTGGAAAGGGTGCTCCACCACTGTCTCTGCTTAATGACAGCAGGACGCTTTGGACAAACATGTTTGACACCTTAACGACGATGGTCCTGCCTGACAGGAATCGATCAAACCAGCCTCTTGCTGCTTTGAGTGTGTTTCATCTATTCCAAGGTTTTGGCAATTTCTCTCACCTTCACTGCATCACTTAGCATGTGACAGGCAATCCTACTGCATGTGTCTCAGTGACAAAATGTAGTACAACTTTTTACTTGTGGTTATCTTCCCTTCTTAGGACTGTAAAGCATTTTGTTGCTTTATAAGATAATATGGAATTGCAGTTATTTCTCCAGCGACGGATATTTGCTTCTCTACGATCAAATGCATGCCCCACTGCTCTGCTTCCATGCTTGTCTGCATACACAACTTCAGTTCAGTGCTGAATCATAGTGAAATCTTTTAGGAGACATACTCATACACACACAGGCTATTCATCAGCTATTGCCTGGTTGACAGGAATAGTGAATGAAAAGTTCAGGAAAGTTAAAATGTGTGTGTGTGGGGAGAGGAAAGAGTACATTATAGAACTAATAAAATACAGTGTTCAAGCCTGTAATGTTTAACAGATTCACATGAGTGCAAAAACTATAAGCCCAAGAGCCAAGGAATAAGTATATAAGTAAAAGCTAGTAAAGCAAAAGATTATCTTTAACATAAAATTTGGAATGGTCCAATTTGGTTTAAATTCCCTTTATGTTCATATGGCTTACATGTAAATCTTTTTTTTGAATGGTAAGTCCAAGTACAAATGCTCTTCAATATTTTAGCAAAGACCAAGGATTGCTGCCTTCCTTCAGCCACTCCCACAGGATGACGGTGGGGTCAGTGGTTTTCCTCAGCGGGCACCCTCCTGTGGCGAGCAGCTCTGATCCTGTGTGGAGATGAGGAAGTGTCCTCTTCAGTTTCAGACCCTGAAGGTTCATGATCTCCCTCCTGGGATCCTGTGTCTCCCACCAGTTCCCGCAGAAACTTGAATTTTGATAGAAAAAGATGCCACACAAAATACCAACCTAAAGAGAGACAAAAACAGTAAAAATAATTATTATATGTTATTAATCAACATTCCAGTTAATTGTGGGGCGTATATGATAAAACATTATTATCCACAAGTGATTACAAGTATACATTTATAAAGCAAGTATTTTCTAAGCATTTACTATGGACAAGGTATACAGATAAACTCTGAATTTATAAAGGGATGGCAGAAACAGTTTATACCTTAATAGAATTTAGAATCCAAGCTTAGTCCATCTATATTAAAATTATAATGAGCTTTGATACCTAAGTAAAAGTGTTTATTATATTAAAATAAAATATTTGAGAGCATTTTTCTTGCTATCCACTTGGAAATTCATATCTCAATGCTAATATTGACTAAAAATAAGTTTTCTTCGATGAGAATACAAAAGAAACAGCCCTGGCCAGTGTGGCTCAGTTGGAGTATCGTCCCAAACACCAAAAGATTTGGGTTCCATTCCCAGGCAGGGCACGTATGGAGGAAACCGATCGGTGTTTCTTTCTCATGACAACAAAGGACTTAGAACTTAAAAGACAAAGCAGCAGCATGTTTGAGCACTGACTCCAATTTTGAAGTAAATTCTATTGTGGGTAAAATGCTATCAAACAGCATCACACTCTAGAGAAATTGCACATGAGAGGAAGAGTCAATTGATGTGGCCAACTCCACTGTTATCTCAGGAAACTGCCATAGTCACCCAACCTTCAGCAACCTCTGCAGTGATCAGTTAGCAGCTATCAACAGAAGACTCCCAGCAGTAAAAGATTATGCCTTGCTGAAGGCTCAAATGATGGTTATTATTTCTTAGCAATAAAGTATTTTACAATTAAAGTATGTGCATTGTTTTATTAGATATAATGCTATTGTACCCATAAGAGACTATAGTATACTGTAAGCTAACTTTCATATGCACTGGAAAACCAAAAATGTGTGTCACTTGCTTTAATACAATATTCACTTTATTGTGGTGGTCTGCAATAAAGATATATCTCTGATGTATGCCTGTACATGGAACTACAGTGTTTTCTTTTGTGTCTGGTTTCTTTCACTCAGAATAAATTGTCAAGGTTCTTCAATCTTATTATTGCTTGCATTACTTCATTTTTATTGCTGAATATTATTCTGTTGCATGGATAAATCACTTTTTTTTTTTTTTTTATCCATTCACCAATTAATGAACATAAGGCTAGTTTCTAGTTTGGGCTATTATAAAAAACAAAGTTTCCACCTTTTGGCTGCAATGACAATTTGTGTACAAGTTTTCACAGGGACATGTTTTCATTTCTTTTAGGTATATATCTATGAGAACTGCTGGGTCATATGGTAACTTTATGCTTAACCATTTGTGAAACTGTTTTTCAAAACAGCTGTATCATTTCACATTCCCACCAGCAAAATGTGAAGTTCCAATTTCTCTACATCCTCACCAAGACTTTTATTGTCCACCATTTTTTATCATAGCCATCCTGCTGGATGTGAATTGTTTATCCTGTAGCTTTTATTTGCATTTCCTTAACGACTAGGGATTTGAACATTTTTTCATGTGTTTATTGATTATTTATTTTCTTAGAGAAATGTCTATTTAATTCCTTTGCCCATTTTTTAAAAAAATGGGTTGTTTTTCTTACATAATTAAGTTGTGTTATTTATATATTCTTGACACTAGACCCTTAAAAAATGTATGATTTTGCAAATATTTTCTGTCATTCTGTGGGCTGTCCTTTCATTGTCTTGATAATGCCCTTGGAACTAGAAAAGATTTTAATTATGATAAAGCATAATTTATCATTTCTTTTTTTAGGAAATCCAATTTATCTATTTTTTTCTTCGGTTGCTTATGCCATATATAGGGAACCATTGACTAAACCTAGGTCATGAATACCTATGTATTCTAAGAGTTTCAGCTCTTACATTTAGGTCTCTGAACTATTTTAGTTAACGTTGTGTGAGAGAGTGTTCCAATTCATTATTTTGCATGTGGATATTGCCAGAGCTGACCAGCAGACCCTGAACGACAGATGAATGATTATTCTAATACACGTTTCTGTGAAAAAGAAGGCTAAGGCACTACTTGCTATCGCTTCCAAGTAGCCCTGTTTGCCTGTCTTCTTTGGCTTTTATTGTCATAACAGCTTGAACTAAAATTAATCTTTAGGTATAATTAGCAGGATAAACATCCTTGAGAAAGTATATGCTTTTACAAGGTCAGGTCTTTAAAGACAAAACATTGAAATTCTAGAGAAACAGCCCGGGGGATCAGACTTGTTTGGAAAAGTCAAGGTAGGGGCTGCTGCCTTCGGCAAGGTCTCCTCAGAGACCCCGACCTTTCAGAGAATCCTCCCCACAGACATTCCAACCAAGTCCCCAGATATCAAGTCCTTCCCAAATGATTTGCTGAAAACACTGTTCTTCCTCCCAACCCCATTAAATTCTCTTAGAAACTTTGTCAGAAATCAAATTACATAAATGTTATAGTTTATTTCTAGACTCTCAATTCTACTCCACTGATCTGAATGTCTATCCTTATTAACAGTACCACACCATCTTGATTACAGTAGCTTTGTGTTAAGTTTTGAGATCTAGTATAAGCCCACCAACTTTGTTATTTTCTACACTATTTTTGACTTATCTGAGTCCTTTGCATTTCAATGTGAATTTTAGACTTATGTTGTCAATTTCTGCAAAAAAAAAAAAAAAAAAAAAAAAAGCAGCAAGAATTCTGAAGGGAATTGCACTGAATCTGTAGATCAATGTAGGCATCTACACTTTTTTAACCTGTTAACCGAGCGGGACCTATAAATACGTCAAACATAAAAACTATCCGGAACGGGTAGGGCATATGAATATGTCCTTGAAATATATGTTGCACCCTGAGAGGGACGGTATATATTTTTTGTAATCTTTATAATTGTTTGTAAAATTTATAATTTTTTAATTCGATGTTTCCATTTTTTTCGTTGGTATTCTTTTCTATTTGTTGTAATTTTGTATTTTCCTTTGTGCTTTATATATAAACAAAAAATATATATATTTCATTTATTTTAATTAAGTATAAATAAAAAAATAATAATATAAAATTACGTCCACTGGGTAATGGGGGATGTGGGAGAGGGGGATTTTCACACTGACACGTCCTAGTGAAAGAGTATGCGCCCGTTGTACATTGCGTAATTAAAAAGGGAACTCCCACCGAAACCGGTTTGGCTCAATGGATAGAGCGTCGGCTTGGGAACTGAAAGGTCCCGGGTTCGATTCCGGTCAAGGGCATGTACCTTGGTTGCGGGCACATCCCCAGTAGGGGGTGTGCAAGAGGCAGCTGATCGATGACTCTCTCTCATTGATGTTTCTAACTATCTCTTTCCTTTCCTCTCTGTACAAAATCAATATATTAATATTTAAAAAAAAAAAAAAAAAAAAAAAGGAACTCCCGGATTAACAGGACACATGTGGTTTTGATAATCAGGAAAATCAGGAGAAATTGATACTAAATAATAAATACTCTGTAGGCTTATAATGTTTTAAATAGCCCAAAGCCATTAAATGGCTTAAATTAATAAAGCCAATTAATATCAACATATACTAAGGAAAATCCTTAACTCTTAGATTAGTTTTAAGAACCCAATCTAAAAGTTAAAAGAACTCATTTGTCCAAGGTGCTGTGCTATACATAGAGATCATGAAAGTGAATTTACCATGAAGGAAATTATAGTCAAGCTCAAAGATGAGAGTCTTAACCTCATAAAAATGAAAGATTGCAAAAGTGGTTACAAGGCATAAAATGACCACAAAGAAAAGTAAGGGAGGTCACTAAAGGTCTTTTGACTAAAAAGAAACTATGGTGAAGGGCTGTCACCACTGGAGTTCCCACCATAAAATACCGCCGTGCCCTTGGGATGATTGTGAGAAAGCAAAGTCTCCCAGCATGGAAATCTATTAAAACAAGGCACTGAGGATAGCTGTAGGAGTCAGTTTAGGGAGACAGAAGAGCATTCAACTAGATCACAAACTCTTTCACAATTTAATAAAACAACCTCCCCCCCACCCCCATTTTTTAAATCACTGTAACAACCAAACAATATAAGGAATTCAATTGTAAAGTCAAAATTGAGAACATGATGGCCAGTGAGAGAAAGTCCAGTGTGGAGCAGCATGTTAAGACCACTTCCTCCACACTTACCACTGCTCTCCACACCAGTTACACTGCTCGACTCCACATGTCTTTCATTTTCACCCCCAAATATGGGGCTAAGAAACCCTGAAAAGTATGCTTATTTTCCCTTATTCTCTCTGGGCATAAGGTGGGCAAGGGTAGGATGGAGGAGGATCATGTGGATAATGACACTGTTTCCCACAAAAAATAAATCATCATAGAGAATTCCCCTAATATACATATGAAGTTGATCTGCTGGGCAGCCACAAAGAACAAATAGCCACTGTGCTTGGTTTTTACAATGGCTACTGTAATGAGAGCTGGGAGGGCAACCTGAAGGGATGAATTGTAGTGCTGATAAGAACTGCTGTAATGTTCACTACATTAAGGGAAGTTCACCAAGTTGTCCTCTAAGTAAAATGATTAAGTTCTTACATAGCTGTAGTTTGGGGGAAGGAGGTGGGAGGAAGATGTGGGAGAGGGGGATTTTCATATCACAGTATCTAGAATTAGTAAAATCTAATGCTTCTACAACAGATTCTTTATCAGTGTTCAGAGTCTGAACTAGGAACAATACTAAAAATGCCAGGCAGTTTGAATGGAAGAATCACACACTACATATGTACAGAGTGGGCCAAAAGTAGGTTTACAGTTCTAAGTATGTGAAACTACTTATTCTTATATTTTTATTTATTAATTCTTGTATTATTTTCCATATGAACAACTGTAAGCCTACTTTTGCCCCCCCTATATTTTGGGGAAAAGTACCATTTCTAAAACGCCAGTGGGTATATACCAGGTAAAGCATGACTTAGAAAGAAAACACAAAGGATATATATAGT